AGGGTTTAGGGTTTAGGGTTTAGGGTTTAGGGTTTAGGGTTTAGGGTTTAGGGTTTGCGTGCAGCCTTCCATACTGGGGGATTGAAAGACACAGTAGTGGAGTTCGTTCCTGCTGCCGGCACTGGCAACGGATTTTCTTTTATGAATTACACCTCAGGCGATCTCCTTTATGCAATGGAAAGAGCAATACGAGTCTTTGAGTCAGCAAACCCTAAACCCTAAACCCTAAACCCTAACCCTAAACCCTATCAGCCTTCATTGCTTGGCAGTTACAGAAGGTGTTGGAGCGTCCCCTTGCTTTTAGCTGCTGGCGATGTTTCTTGAGAGCTAGAGTTTCGGGTTTAAGGTTAAAGCTTAAGGGTTTAGGGTTTACGGTTTAGGGTTTGGGGTTTTGCAGCGACAAGGAGAAGTACACCTTGCTGCGGCAGCTAGCTCGCCAGTCGGTTGTTAGCTGCGAGTGCAGCAGCTGGGCCTGGCTCTGTGAATTCGCTCGCCTTAGAAACAAAATCCCTATCAACGAAAACAAGGTACTCAGCTAGCTAGCTAGTTAGCTAGCTAACTAGCTAGCTAGCTAGCCAGTTACCCACACAGTTAGCCAGCCTGCCAGCTACTCACACAGCTAGCTAGCCAGCTACCCACACAGCTAGCTAGCCAGCTACCCACACAGCTAGCTAGCTAGCCAGCTACCCACACATTTACCTAGCTAGCTAGCTAGCTAGCGAACTAGCGGCGGCCGAGCTCAGCGAGCCCCAGCCGGGCTGCAGCGACGACCAGAATACCTGTATTAGAGTCAAACCCCTCGGGGACCCTGTGCTAGCTAGCTAGCTACCCAGCTAGCTCGCCAGCTAGGTAGCTAGCTAGCTAGCTAGGCGTTGGGTGTAGGGTGGTGGCTTTGCAGGTGCAGCAAATCTATGAGTCGCTCCCAGAGTGGTCGGAGGGGGCCTGGCGCCGTAGGAAAGATCAGCTAGCTGCAGCAGCAACAGGCATTCCTTGTCCTGCTGCTAGCAGCTGGGGAAGCCTCCAGGAGAAAGAGCAGCAGCAGCAGCAGCAACAGCAGCAGCAGCAGCTGCAGCTGCTGCAGCAGCAAGCCGAAGCAGCAGCAGAATTCTGGGCGCTGCCGGCATCAGCAGCTAGCAAAGGCCGCTCAAAGAAGAAGCTGCGTATATATACCAGCAGCAGCAGCAGCAGCAGCAGCACCAGCACCAGCAGCAGCGGAGACGAACCTACTACTGCCCGCAGCCGCACCAGCAGCAGCAGCAGCAGCAGCAGCAGCAGCGCGGAGAAGGCAGCTAGCCACGCCAGCAGAACAAAAAAGCTGCTCCCCAGTGTAATTCGATATATACCCCCTCAAGCAAAGCCGAGACCCCGCTCTGTCGCCGTGGCTGGTAAACCCTAAACCCTAAACCCTAAACCCTAATTCCTTGAAACCCTAGTTTTGCAACAACTCGCACTCCACTGGCAGCGCGAAACTTCCTTCTAATGCCTGCATAGCATTCCCTTAAAGACAAACAGTTTCAGACTTAGGGTTTAGGGTTTAGAGCTTAGGATCTAGGGTTTAGGGTTTAGGGTTTAGGGTTTGTCTACAGGGAGCTTCGACGACTGGCGCGTACGGCGGCCTTTGACTTGGGATAATGCAGTCCAGGCCTTCTCTATCTCTCTAGCGCTACCTCCTGGAGAGTGAGGAATTTAGGGTTTAGGGTTTAGGGTTTAGGGTTTAGGGTTTGTGTTGTGGCCTATGCGGGTGGCAGTTGGCGATGCGTCGGCTTTTTTTTGTCTCTCGGATGCATGGGGTCTGGAGTGTAGGGTTTAGGGTTTACGGTTTATGGCTTAGGGTTTAGGGTTTAGGGTTTAGGGTTAAGGGTTTAGGGTTTAGGGTTTAGGGTTTGAGTGAATGTGCAGGTACACGTATAAGCTCGTAGTTGACGGTGAGTGGGTTTGCTGTCACGGCTCGCCAACAGCGCGGGATGCTGGGGGCAATGAAAACAACATTCTTCGAGTAGAGTAGCTAGCTAGCTAGCTAGCTAGCTTTCTTGCTTGCTTGATTGCTGCGTAGGCTGCTAGCTACCTATCTACCTAGCTTTGTAGATAGCTCGCTAGCTAGCTAGCTAGCTAGTTACGCGAGTAAGCTGGCTAGCGAGCCTCCTAGCTAGGTTCTCTGGCTAGCTAGTTGGCTAGCTAGCTGGATGGCTACCTACCTAGCTAGCTAGCTAGCCCGACGCAATTAAACTTCGTTTTAAGCCCGGCTGTCTGTTGCCTCTGTCAGACTACCGGTGCGTTATGGCTGCCTAGCTAGCTAGCAACCAGCTAGCTAGCTACCAGCTAGCTAGCAGCTAGATGCCAGCTAGCTAGTGGTTAGTTGCTTACACAACCCACTCGCTAGCTAGGCCCAGCTAGCCAACAGGCTACTGGAGACAACAACTCGCTTTCTCCTCAAGTGCGGGAGACAAAAGGAGACTTAAAGAGCTGGGAAGCAAAAGAGACAAAGACAAGGCCCGCTGCAGCAGCAGCAGCAGGGTGCTGCAGCAGCCTGCTGCCGAAGCTTCCTGCTGTGCCGCTCTCCTAAAAAGCGTCATTTGCATTTCTGGGTGTACAGCGGGTTTGCATTTTTAAGCTCAAAGGGCGCCTATCGCACTTAGGTTTTGGGGTTTAGGGTTTAGGGTTTAGGGTTTTAGTCGCATAGGGGCATAGTCGTCCAGCCCTAGAGTTGTGTCTCCTTTGCTGTTCAGGGTATAGGGTTTACGGTGTAGGTTATAGTGCTTAGTGCTTAGGGTTTAGGGTTTGGGGATTTGTTGCAGGCCTCGTCAAGCGCATGAATATCCCTGGAGGGTTTAGGGTTTAGGGTTTAGGGCGGCACAAGAAGATCATTCACTGCTGCTCAAATGCCTGTGCATTGCCTTCTCCTATTATCACCACGCAAGGGTTTAGGGTTTAGGGTTTAGGGTTTAGGGAAGGTCTTAAAAAAGGAAGTAACAGACAACCGCGCTGTCAGCACGTCAGCTGTCGCTGTTTGCTTGTGCCGCTCGCTTTTGCTGTTGCTGCTGCTGCTGCTGCAGCAGACGAAGCAAAAGAAGCACAATACGCACCAGAAACAAGACCAGGTGTATATACGAGCATATAAGACGAAGTGTATTAGTTTTTTTTGTATGCTGACGCTGACGAAGGTAAGAACAAGGGCAGAAGAAAGGTATCAAACTGGTTGGTGAAACAATACAATGTTTGTTTTGCAAGAATTATATTTTATTTTTAAAATTAATAATTTAAAAATAATTAATTTTCCTCCTTTTGTTGCTGTCGTTACACTGGGGTGTCTGTGCATACACCGCAGGCCAATGGACTCACCAGTGGTGGTGAGCGCGAGCGTCGGTTGGGCTAACTGTGGTATTTTTTGGTTATTTTTGATGAAACATGTTTGTAAAAATATATTAATTATATGTTTAATGTTATTTCACGGAAAAAACGAGAAAAAACTAGCGTTTTGACCCTGATATAGAGCACTCTCTACCTGCGGTGGCCGCTGCGCGTGCAGCAGCAGACTCTACTACCTGCCCTGCGCTGCTGCAGCCGAATTAAACAGCTTTTTAGGGTTTGAAAACAATGAAATTTGAGTTTTTGGGTTTTATATTTGTCTGTTTTGTGTATGTTGGCTGCTATCGCCCGCCCCATGCAAAAAAACCCTAAACCCTAAACCCTAAACCCTAAACCCTAAATTCCCTTCACTTCAAATGCATTCCGCTCTCCTCATGGGCGTGTCAGTGAACGGCTTTTTTCTTTTGTCATCATCCTTTGTCAACAAGTTTTTGCTCTAAACACCAAACCCTAAACCCTAAACCCTAAACCCTAGGGCAAACAAACCCCACTCTTAGGGAGCAGCGAGCTGGAGAGCGGATGGGCTGTTTTTTTCCCAGCGCACCCGTAAACCCTAAACCCTAAACCCTAAACCCTAAACCCTAAACCCTCTGGGGGAGCGTTGCGCACAGCAAGAGCCTAAAGGCGAAGACCGATGGCTGCAACTTCTGTTTTTGCTGCTGCTGCTCCTATCCGCGGAACAGGGTAAGCCTGAAGTGCCTCTACTAAAGGCCACGATGCGTCAGCAGCACCTGAATAACCAGCACCAGCAGCAGCAGCAGCAGCAGCAGCAGCAGCAGCAGCAGCAGCAACAGCAGCAGGTGTACGAAACAACGCAAACCGCTACTGACGAACGCCAAGCTGTACAACTCTGCCAGCAACGCCAGCAGCAGCAGCAGCAGCAGCAGCAGCAGCAACACTGGCAACAGCAGCTGCAACTGCAGCAGCAACAGCAGCAGCCAATCGGAATCTTGCTGCCTCAGCAGACTCTGCACGGCGGACCCGTTCTGCAGCTGCAGCAACAGCAGCAGCAGCAGCAACAACAACAGCAGCAACGCTACAGCATCAACCGCCTGAGCAGCTTTGAAGCAGCCAGCAGATACGGAATATTTTGTACAGGTGGTGGTGCAGTTGCTGCTGACCCGACAACAGCTGCAGCAGCAGCAGCAGCAGCAGCAGCAGCAGCAGGCGCTGCAGCAGCAGACGGGCTGTCGCCACCGACTGCAACAACACAGTACAGCTGCACGCAGCAGCATCCAGCAGCAGAAGATTTAGAAGGTGCTTTTACACCCCTTGCGGAGTCTGTTCACTCCTCGCCTCCCAGCCAGCAGCAGCAGCAGCAGCAACAGCAGCAGCAGCTACTGCTGCATGCAGCAACAGCCACTGACGGCGAGACAGACAGCATCCGCAAGAACCCAAGTCTGAGGACCCTTAGAATTTGTCAGCATTTCCAGCTGCTGCAGCAGCAGCAACAGCAACCGCAGCAGCAGCAACAGCAGCAGCAACTCAGGAGATCAGTTACCCAGCACCCCCAGCTGCAGCAGCTTCAGCAACTGCAGCAACAGCTGCTGCATCGTGCTGCAGCTGAGCGGTCCCCGTTGCTGCTGCAGCAGCAGCAACTTGTTGGAGATTCTGAAGGCCTTTACTCTCCCTGTGCAGTAGACGGTACGCCAAGAGACTTCCATCTGCAGCAGCAGCAGCAGCAGCAGCAACTGCTGCAGCGGCTACACCACAAACGTCAGAGCAGCTGCGAGAATATTGATTCGAATCAGCAGCAGCAGCATCTGCAACAGCAGCAGCAGCAGCAGCAGCAGCCTCTGACCTTGGAACCGTATGCTTCCGGTGTACGTCCGCCAGCGCTCATCACTTCTCCCTCCGCAGCAGCCTCAGCAGCAGAAGCAGCAGCAGCAGCAGCGGCTGCTGCTGCAGAGCAGCAAGACCGCATGGGCTGCCGTCAGTCTAGCCGGCGTCCTTCGAGGGTCTCTTCACCTCCAGGTGGTGTAGATGCAGCAGCTGCTGCAGCAGCACAGCAGCAGCTGCAGCAGGCGAAGCAGCAGCAGCAGCAGCAGCAGCGGGCTTCGCCAAATCCCGTGAGTCGGCTATGGAGGGGTGCTTCTGCTCCTAGCGGCTGCAGCGCAGCAGCAGCTGCTGCTGGCGGTGGCTTGGCTGGTGGTGCAGGTGCCGGGACTACTGCTGCTGCTGCTGCTGCTGCTGCTGCAGCAGGTGCTGCTGCTGGTGCTGCGCAGCAGAAAGCTGCAACGCAGCAGCGTATTCCTTTTGTAGCTGTTCATCAGCTGCTGCCGTACTCAGCAGAAGGAGAGACATTTTCATCTTCACGCTGGCAAAACCCTAGAAGAAGCAGCTGGGGAGACACTTCAACTTTGCTGCTGCAGCAGCCGCTAGGTAGCGGGGCTATGGGGCATGTCTTTCTAGTAGAGTTAGCGGGTAAGAGCTGCGCTCTGAAGCTAGCTCTGCAGTCTGATGCTGCTGCATGCATGTACATTAGACAAGGCTGGGAGAACCTTGTTAAGCTCGAGTGTATACACAGCCAGCAGCAACGCAAAAAACGCCAAGCTGCTGCTGCTGCTGCTGCTGCTGCTGCGGCTGCTGCGGCTGCTGCGGATGCTGCGCATGCGGATACGGGTGCTGCTGCAGCTGCGCCCGCTGCAGCAGCAACAGCAACAGCAGGGAATATGCCACCAGGGACGCGCCTGCATCCTGCAGAGCAGCAGCAACAGCAACAACAGCAGCAGCAGCAGGAGCAGGAAGTGAAGTCTCCTGCTGCTTCTGGGGTAGATGATGGTGCTGGTGCACCCCTGAGCAGCAGCAACAGCAGCAACGAGAGATATTTTTGCCGCCCTTTATGCTATCTAGAAGGCGATTGGTACAGTTTTGGTTGTGCTGCACCTGCAACATCCTCCCAGCAGCAGCAGCAGCAGCAGCAGCAGCAGCAGCAGCAGCAGCAGCAGCAGAGGCGAAGAAGCAAAGTGTGCGGGTATATAATGGAGCATATCCCTGATGCATGTCAATTAACTGTCTTATCCTGGCACTTTCATAGAAGTATAGATCCTTTAGGACTAGAAAGGAGACAGAAAAACTCTACTGTAGCGAAGCGTCTCCTTCATATCTGCAAGGAGGTTACGCAAGCCTATGCATTTGTTGCTGCTGAAGCCCAGCTGTATGCCTTCGACTTCAATCCTAAGAATATACTCGTCTCTGTTCAGCTGCCCCAACCCCACACGCAGCAGCAGCAGCAGCAGCAGCAGCAGCAGAAAGGGCAAGGCAGCAGCAGCGGGAACACGCAGCAGGAAATGACATTTGCTGCAGGTGTTGCTGCAGCAGGTGGTGGTGCTGCTGCAGTTTTTGCTGCAGGTGCTGCAGCACCTGCGCGTAAGAAAGCGGGTGTTTCAAGCACGTCGTCCCGCATGCAAGCAGCAGCATCCAGCAGCAACAGCAACAGCAGCAGCAGCAGCAGCAGCAGCAGCAAACCTCGGAGCGCCATGGAATTAACGCAGCTTGCATTTCTAAGCCCAGCAGCAAAAGTTAGAGTTGTTGCTATAGACTTAGACTGCTCATTATCTGCTCCTTTCTCTTTAGAAGCAGCAGACCCTTTGCTTCTTGATTGGTGCTGCGGCAGACGGGTTGTTTATTCGTGTCCTCATATACCCTGTCTCCTTGCTGCTTATATCCTTGCTGTCTTAGCTAAAAGCAAACAAACATCACAGTTTTCAAGAGCAGGGCTTAGAGAGGAGACAGCGCATGCAGCAATACAAAGGAGACTCAGAGACCCCAATAACTTCCTACATTATTGCTGCATGCAGCAGCAGCAGCAGCAAATGCAGCAGCAGCAAATGCAGCAGCAGCAAATGCAGCAGCAAATGCAGCACCAGATGCAACAGCAGACCAATCAGCAGCAAATGCAACATATGCTTCATAAACAGCAAACACAGCAGCAGCAGCAACAGCAACAGCAACTATTGATGATGCAGCAGCAGCAGCAACACCTGCAGCAACAGCTGCAGAAGAAAGGTGTAGCATTGCAGCAGCAGCAGCAGCAGCAGCAAGTGTCTCCTACTTGTACGACAGCAGCAACAACAACTCCCAGCAGCAGCACGCGATGTCTTACGATGTCTCCAAATAGCCGCGAAGGCGTTGATATTTTGTCTCCTTCATCTGGTGCTTCTAGTGCTTCTATTTGCAGCAAAGTTGCTGCAGCAGCAGGGATAAGTGTGGGGGGGCGTTCATCTCCTGCAGCAGCAGCAGCAGCAGCAGCAGCATCTGCTGCTTCAGCAGCAGCAGCAGCAGCAGCAGCTCTTTCTTTTCCTGCTTATCAAAGCCTCTTCCTGTACCCTCAGCAGCAGCAGCCAAAAGACATTCCTCCTAAAGAACATGTTAACTACGGTGTACGCTTAACACAGACGCATACTTTGCTGCAGCTGCTTGCTTTTGTATTGTGTGATATATTAGACGCAAGAAGCCTTCATAATATCTTTTTGCTGCAGCACCCGCTGCTGCTGCAGCAGCTGCTTCTGCCTACTGAGGTTGGTCTTCTTTTCTGCGAGAAGACACAAATTATCAGCTGTCTTTGCTTCTCTGCTTTAACTAGACTTCAGAGCAATGCTATTCCTCATCCTGCTGCTGCAAGAGCTGCTGCTGCTGCTGCTGCTGCAGCAAATGCTGCTGCTGAAGCTGCTGCTGCTGCAGCTGCTGCTTCTGCAGCAACAACGCATACACCCGAGCGCAATAACGCTGCACACCCATATAAAGGTGCACACGAAACTCGCTTGCAGCAGCAGCAACAGGCAGCAGCAGCAACTGCAGCAGCAACTGCAGCAGCAACTGCAGCAGCAAATGCAGCAGCAACTGCAGCAGCAACGACAGCTCGCATCCCTTGGCAAGAAAGCTCAAAGAATGAAACCAGCGGCCTCCGACGAGTGCCAGCAAACAGCAGCAGCAGCAGCAACAGCAGCAGCAGCAGCAGGGCCCCACAGCAGGTGCCGCAGCAGCAGCGGCAGCTCCTGCTGCAGCTACACCCAGCAGACAGGCGGTTTGTTACTGCATGCAGCAGCAAAAGACGCTCTACCTGCCACCCCTCAGAGAGCAGCAGCATTGGGGTGGACCCTGTAGCCCCGCATGCAGCAGCAGCAGTTGCTGCGAATGTTGCTGCTTCAGCAGCAGCAGCAGCAGCAGCAGCAGCACAACCAGGAGGCATTGCTGCTCTCTCCATATGGGAGCGTCTTGAGCTCCTTCCTGCATTAACACCAGCGCAGTTTCTACCTCCCCCTGAGTTGCTAGGTGCAGCAGCAGCAGAAGAATTTGCTGCTCTGCGGCATTTGCTGCTGCAGCTGCTAGACCCTCTACCTGTCTATACATCTCAACTAGGGACTCCTAGACAGGCATACGCTACCCTTATTGCTGCAGTATCTAGAGTCGCTGAAAGACTTGAAGCAGAGTGATGCTGCTGCTGCTGCTGTTGCTGCTGCTGCTGCTGCAGCACGTTCTGCTGCTGCAAGAGCTGCTGCTGCTGCTGCGCTTTCAGCTGCTCCAAGAGCAGCTGCTGCTGCAGCGTTTTCAGCTGCTGCAGCAGCAGCAGCAGTAGCACGTTCGCTGCTTTTGCTGCAGCGCATTCTGCTGCTGCCGCTTCTGCTGTTGCAGCCTGTTCTGCTGCTGCTTCTGCTGCTGCTGACGCCGCTGTTGCTGCTGCACCAGCAGCAGCGGCAACAGCAGCAGCAGGTATTTCAATGCAGCAGCAGGCAACCAAATGGGGGGTCTTCAGTTTGGGGTGTATAGACAGCGTAACCTCAGGCTGCTGCCTCTCTCCTGTAGATGCACAACAACTCGCATTGCAGCAGCAGCTGTTGCTGCTGCAGCAGCAACAGCAGCAGCACCTGCTGCTGCTGCAGCACCTGCTGCTGCTGCCTGTGTTTTGGCAGCTGTCAGTGTTTTTAGGGTTTGTTTGCGCGGCAAACAACCGTAGACAAAGGCCATTGAATTTTAAATAGAAAACCCTAAACCCTAAACCCTAAACCCTAATTAATAACCCTTCTATAGACAACCCTAATAAATATTTAGCCTAATAAGCCCTAATAAACCCTAATAAATAATAACAGCAATAAACCCTAAACCCTACTAATAATAATCCCTGTAGACCCAAACAAACCCTAATACAGCAATAAGCAACGCTGGTAAACGCTCCTGAACTTAACCCTAAACCCTAAACCCTAACCCTAAACCCTAAACCCTAAACCCTACAAAGGGTGCAGGGGGAGCGAAAGGAGGCAGCGCGAGAGCAAACGAAGATAGCCAGGAGACAAAGCAATCCTACAGTTTCAGAATAAAGAACCCTTAGGGTTTATATAATAATAATAAACCCTCAGGGTTTAATACTGAATTGCAAACCCTTAGGGTTTAGGGTTTTCATTAAAGTGCATTAGTAAAGACCCTCCAAGCAAACAAACCAAACAACATGGCCTGCAAAAAATCCTACCCCCCTTTTCCCTCTGTTGTTGTTGCTGCTGCTGCTGCTGCTGCTGCTGCTGCTGCTTTTGCTGCTGCTGCTGCTGCTGCTGCTGCTGCTGTCGCTGCGGCCGTTGTTGCTGTCATAGCTGCGATTGCTGCTGCAGTTGCATTTCCTGCATTTGCTTGCTGCTGCTGCATTTGCTGTTGCTGGTGCATCTGCTGCTTCTGCTGCTGTTACTGTTCGTGCAGCAGCCGCAGCAGCTGCTGCTTCAACAACAGCAGCAGCAGCAGCAGCTGGTGCTCTCTGTAGCAAACAAAGCAGTAAAATGTTCAAGGTACCCCTCCCCAGTCTATCGTAGGGCCCCCCGTGAAGGGATGCTGCTGAGGTTGGTGAGATGAACCTCGCTGCTGCATCTGCTGCTGCTGCTGCGGGAACCCTGCTGGGTGCTGCTGCTGCTGCGGGAACCCTGCCGGGTACTGCTGCTGCTGCGTAAACCCTGTTGGGTGCTGCAGCAGACGACCCAGATGCTGCGGAGGATGCATAAACTGGTGCGGCATATGCTGCTGCGGCTGCTGCGGCTGCTGCGGCTGCTGTACCTGACTAGGAAGGAGATATCCAGAATAAGGATCTGAAGTCGGCCCTTGTTTAATTGGCTGAATAGAAAAGAGGCCTTGATGCTGCTGCTGCTGCTGCTGCTGCAGTTGAAACATCTGCTGCTGCTGCTGCTGTCTCTGTCCTTCTCTAAGTTGTGCACTCATAACCCCTAGCATCTGCTGCAGCTCTGCTCTTTGCTTCCTGATAGCTTTTTTAACTTCATGCGTCTGCTGCACAGCCTGTGAAAGCCCTGATGTATCTACTACATGCGGGGGAGGAAGAGCAGCAGCAGAAGCAGCAGCAGAAGCAGCAGCATCAAGCAATGTATCTATAGCAGCAACCGAATGACCCACAGCTGCCTCCCATGCAGCAACAGCTTGCTGCATCACTCGCAGCTGTTCGTTAGCAAGATCAGTCGATACATTACCTGAAACAAGTTTATTTATCTCTGCGTCCAGCTGCTGCTTGAGTCTTTCTGCATCTGCTGTTGCTGCAGCAAGAAGTGCTTCTGCTGCTGCCATGATCTGCTGCTGCTGCTGCTGCACCTGCTGCTGCAGCACCTCCGCGTACTTAGCCAGAGCAGCTTCAATTGCTGTCTTAAGCTCCTGCATAGTCTTATCACACGCAATCTGCTTTGCTTCTAAGGCAGCAACTACATCTCTAAGATGCTCTTCTTGTGTACGAAGAGCTAGCTGAATATCTGCGCAACCCTGCAGCAGCTGCTCCGCAACCTGTCTCCCTGAAGGCCCTTGTAGAGACAGTCGTGTTGCTGCTGCTTCTGCTTCTTCTAGCCCAGCAGCAACCTTTCCTAGTAAACCGTTAACACCTTGCAGCTGTCTCCCTAGCATAATCTTTGTGTCTAAATATGTCTTATCATCTACTATACCTAAGTCGCCCATATCAAAGCCCGTCCCGTCTGAGTTTACTAGACGCTGCAAGGTAGCTTCTAAAGTTAATGTTGTTTGTTCTATTAAAGTTTCGCCCTTCTTTAACTCTTTTATACCTCGCTGTACTTCTGCTAAGCCTGCTTCACACGAAACCAGCAAACTGCGTATCTTGCTGCTCTGCTGCTGCAGCTCTATGTGCTGCTGTCTTGCTTCTATAAGCTTCTGCTCAACTTTCTGTCTCTCTGCTTGCTGAGTTCTCTGCATTTGCACCATAACTTCCTGTAGCTGCTGCTGCTGCTGCTGCTCTAGCTGCAGCAACTGCTGCTGCAGAGGATCCAGAATAGCATCTCCTGCTGCACCACCACCAAGACCCCCATACGGCCCATGCTGCTGATGCATACCGCCTCTCCCTGCTGCTGCTCCTGCTGCTGCTGCTGCTGCTGCTGCTGCTGATGTTGATGGGCCTCCACCCATAACAGCAGACAGCACGATCTCCGCTTGCTGCAGAAGATGCCTCATATGCTCTTCAAGAGCAGCAGCAGCAGCAGCAGTTGTAGCCTTCGCTCTTGATTCAGCGCTGTCTGCATATCTCTCAGCTATTTGTTTATACTGCTCTTGCGACTCAGGCGGTAATAACGCTATTAGGCCTTTTAATTCCTGATGCCCCCTGCCTAATGCTGTTGCTATTAATCTATTACCATTCCGCCATTGACTTCCTGCTAACTTCTTTGCTGTCCAGCTTGCAGATGAAGAAGAAGAGACAAATATATATATCAATAATATATATAATATTAATAAACCTAACCAACCAATACGCCTACCTAGCCGCATCTTCGTGCCTCTGCATGCACATAAACAAATATACATTAATTAATTAATTAATTAATTAATTAATTAATTATTTATTTATTTATTTATTGTTGTTTGGTTATTCTGTTCGTCTAATTTACTTAGTCCCCCCTATTTGTTTGTTTATATTCATAAGAACATAGAGCTTCATCTTAATTATATATTATATATATATAAATATATTTATTTATTTATTTATTTATTTATTTATTTATTATGTATACTATAGAATAGATATTATATATTATATAAATTATATGTATATTATATATATAATGATATATATATATATGAACATATATGCATATATAAATATAATGTATAAAGTCCATCTAATTAATTTAAACAGTTTAATTAAATAAATAAAATAAATTAATTAAATAAATAAAATTAATTAATTAAATAAATAAACAGAGTGAAGAAATAAATACAGACATCGCCTAAGGGCAGCAAATAAATAAACAGCAGCAGCAAATAAATAAACAGCAGCAGCAAATAAATAAACAGCAGCAGCAAGTAAGTAAACAGCAGCAGCAAGTAAGTAAACAGCAGCAGCAAACAGATAGACAGCAGCAGCAAGTAAGTAAACAGCAGCAGCAAATAAATAAACAGCAGCAACAAATAAATATAAAGTAGAGCCCCAGCTGCAGTATCTCTAATAGACAAGGAGAGAGAACAAGCAGCTTAAATTGCTGCCGTTGCTGCTGCTACAGATATTGAAATAACGTGCAGGAGCAGCAGCAGCAGCAGCATTGACAGCAGCAACACAAGCAGCAGCAACAACAGAAGCAGCAGCAGCAACAGAAGCAGCAGCAGCAACAGCAGAAAGAAGTGCTGTCCTCATCAAACCCTGGATTAGAGAGACAAACCTGATTCTGCTGCTGTTTCGGAGTTGCTGCTGCTGCTGCTGCTGCTGTCGCTGCTGCTGCGGCGGCGACGCCTGCTGCTGCCCTTCTTGCTCCAGTCAGGCCGAAGCAGAATAAATGAAAGAACTGGGCGAGGGTTTAGGATTTAGGGTTTAGGGTTTAGGGTTTAGGGTTCGCGCAGTCCCCAACGCATGCCTCGAGTTGTAGAAGCTCCAAACCCTGCGAGCCACCGCCTGAAACGAAAAAGATGAGGGTTTAGGGTTTAGGGTTTAGGGTTTAAGTGCTGCAAAAGCAAACGCCCCTTTTATGGTTGAGGGTTCAGGGTCTAGGGTTTAGGGTTTAGGGTTTAGGGTTTGCTGGACCGCTCTCCCCCGGCAGCAACTCCCCGCTGCACTGGAAGCAGAGACGAGGCTGACAGGCGTACCTGATACTTCTCTGACGGTTTAGGGTTTAGGGTTTAGGGTTTAGGGTTTAGGGTTTTGAAAAAGCAGAAAAAGAAATGCTATAGCAGCAACTCAACCACAGAAGGGCTCCGAGGGATCGATGCGGCAGCACACAGCTTGGGTCTGCTCCCATGCTAGTAAACCCTAAACCCTAAACCCTAAACCCTAAACCCTAAACCCTAAACCCTAATTAAAACTTTATTATTATGCAATTAATGATATTTTTAATCAATTAAAGCACTCAATCTCTCGCTTTTCTTCTTCTTATATACCCTTCTCCCCGGCCAGCTGCTGCAGGCTAGCTTTGCTACTGCTGCTGCTGCTGCTGCTGCTGCTGCCGATGTTGTCTTTGCTTCTGCTGCTGCTGCATTTAATGAGGCAGAGCCTCAAATCTAAACCCCACAGATAAGCCCTCGCACCCGCGCAGCTGTGTTTGCTGCCGAAGCCCTAGGCGCTAGACCCTAAACCCTAAACCCTAAACCCTAAACCCTAAACGCTGAATTCAGAACACAAAACCCTAAACCCTAAACCCTTTGGCACCTGCAGCACAGGTATGTGGGTAAGCTCAGGGAGGAGGAGGTAGCAGCAGCAGCAGCAGCTGCTGCTGTTGCTGCTGTTGCTGCTGTTTCTATTGCTATTTATTGCTGCTGCTGCTCCTGTTGCTGCTGCTGCTGCTGCTCCTGTTGCTGCTGCTGCTGCTGCTACTGAACTGCAATGTCTGGTAAGTAGGGAGACAATAGATATAAAAGAAACACTGAAGAGACAGATAAAAGATAAAGGAGACAGATAAAAGAGATAAAGGAGACAGATAAAAGAGATAAAGGAGACAGTTAATATACTGAAAGGAGACAGATAGAAGATAAAGGAGACAGATAAGAGATAAAGGAGACAGATAGAAGATAAAGGAGACAGTTAATATACTGAAAGGAGACAGATAAAAGATAAAGGAGGCAGATAAAGGGGACAGATAAAATATGAAGGAGACAGATAAGAGATAAAGGAGACAGTAAATATAGCATACTGAAAGGAGACAGATAAAAGAGATAAAGGAGACAGTTAAATAGCAGCGAGAAGAAATAAGAAGCAAAGACAAAGAGAGACGAAGAAGGATGGAGGGGCCTTCCTGTAAGAAGGAACAAACAGCTGCTGCTGCTACGCTTCCCTCGTTACAGCAGCAGCAGCAGCAGCAGCAGCAATAGCAGCAAAGTTAGCAGCACCTCTGCAGCAGCAGGTAGCACGACCTTTGCAGCAGTAGCAGCAGCAGCTCCTCTGCAGCAGCAATAGCAGCAATATTAGCAGCACCGCTGCAGCAGCAGCAGGCAGCAGCACCTTTCCAGCAGAGGCAACAGCAGCAGCACCACCACCTTTAAAGCAGTAACAGCTAGCTACAGCTAGCTACAGCTAGCTACAGCTAGCTACAGCTAGCTGCTGCGAGCTGAAGGGACGCCCTATACTTGCGAGAAACACTGCGCTACCTATAAACCCCAGACTGCAAACCCTAAACCCTAAACCCTAAACCCTAAACCCTAAACCCTTGCACGCAGAGGGCTACTAAAAAGAGTATCGCTCTGGGTCTCTGCTGATTTAAAAGACACAGGTAAAAAACAACAAGCTTGGATGCTGCGCGCCACAGCACCACCCGCAAACCCTAAACCCTAAACCCTACAGCAAGGGTTTAGGGTTTATTAGGTATAGTTGTTTATGCGTCTGATTCGGGAAGGCAGGCGGTGTTGTGGTGTACACGAGGGGCTGCAGTAGCCCCATGCTCGCGATAAACCCTAAACCCTAAACCCTAAACCCTTGAGGGTTGAGGGGCTGGGTAGGTAGGGTTTAGCATTAGGGTTTAGGGTTTAGGGTTTAGGTGTTGCTGCTGCTTCACGAATTGTCTGCTATTGCTAGTATATTCATAAATATAATAATGATATCCATGTACAAAGTTAAAGCAGCAAAAATATAATCATCAATCGAATACTGGTAGCGCCGATGCTTGCCTCCAACCACTTGCTGTACATACACCCAAACCCTAAACCCTAAACCCTAAACCCTAAACAGCTGTCCATAGAGCCCGAAGAAAGTGAAGGTGACCATTGGGTAATGGATTAGGGTTTAGGGTTTAGGGTTTGGGTGTGTGGGTGTATCGAGCTGGATACGGTGTTGAGTGTCTAATAATGTAGGGGGAGTGAGTGCGTGAGGGTTTAGGGTTTAGGGTTTAGGGTTTAGACTTGCCTGCGTGTCGTAGACAAGAATCATACAAAAAAGAACTGTAGCTAAACCAGAGTAGACGAGATGAACAACTTTACTAGAAAATATAATACAGAGGATGCCGAATATCATCAGGCAGAGCACCGCTACAAACAAGTACGTCCCCCAGCCTGCAAACCACAAACCACAAACCCTAAACCCTAAACCCTAAACCCTAAACCCTAAATCTTGCAGGGGAGATCCCAAAAGCTGCACCATACGCTCTCTACACTTCAGAAATACAATACTACCTCCTCCTCTACACGACGCACCAATAAACCCTAAACCCTAAACCCTAAACCCTAAACCCTAAGCTGCACCCGCTGTGCTGCCAGTCGTCCCGCTGCCCCAGCGCTGATCTAATGCAGGCAGTATGTATAGGGTTTAGGGTTTATTGTTATATAGGGTTTAGGGTTTAGAGTTTGGCGTATAGGGTAACAGGGTAGCATTTCTAAGGGTATGCACACGCATAGGGTGTAGGGTTTAGGGTTTAGGGTTTAGGGTTTAGGGTAAGTACCGGTGAAATCGTATTTGGTTTGACAGGCAAAGAGCATCAGACCCACAACAACAACAAATGTAGCGCCTATAGCAATTAAGAATGAGGAGTAAGATGAAGCTGCTGCTGCACAAGATATAAGAACAGAGTAGCATGCAGTTATTAAAGACATTAAAATAAAATTAGTTGGGACCTTCCTCGCCAAGTCCGGCACGCACACCAACACTGCGCACAAAACACACACAACCCTAAACCCTAAACCCTAAACCCTAAACCCTAAACCCTAAACCCTAAAATAAGAGCAGGATATGAAAACTAACAAATCGGATTCCATGCACCTCCTCGCAGAATTTGTTAAGCAGTTAAATAACAAAAATACGGCTTCAAATGGCTTCTAAACAGGCTTGCTTTCTAGGGTTTAGGGTTTAGGGTTTAGGGTTTAGGGTTTAGGGTTTACCGAGCTGCAGAACAAGCGCGCAGACAGCAGCGACAATCGCCAGCCAATAATTTTGAAGGAGAAAATTTCGTAGAGTTGGGACAAAGCCGAAAACCGCAGCAATTCCGAAGGTAAACTGAAAACACCCCAAACCCTAAACCCTAAACCCTAAACCCTAAACCCTAAACCCTAGACCCTTTGCCTCTGAGTGATGAAGAAGAAGCCTCCGTCTTTCACCTGAAGGAGCTTATGGCTGGTGTTGTGTTGGATGCAGCGAAGAAGAAGACCTCTAGGGTTTATGCATCTAGGGTTTATCTATCCACGGTTTAGAGATTAGGGTTTAGGGTTTAGGGTTTAGGGTTTACGAGGATTTGAATAGCGAGGATGCCCAAGACCTTGCGCACAAAGGCGTGACGAATCTGCACAGAAATGTCTTCGCTTATTTGCAAGCCATTGCCGTTAGGAGGTGGTGAAGAGACCTCCATTGAAGCAGCCCCTGAAGCACACAAACCCTCGAGGGTTTAGGGTTTAGGGTTTAGGGTTTAGGGTTATAGAAACCGTACACACGCTATAGAAAGCTGCGAGAGCGAGAAAAACCTAACAATCACTAAACCCTAGCAAACCCTAATACAAACCCCAATAAACCCTAGACCGTAGCAAACCCTAAACCCTCATAAACCCTCACAAACCCTAAACCCTTTGCATACCAGTTGTAGCAGGCTTCCCGTACATAGGAGGCCCCTGAGGTGTGTAGCACTGTCCTGCTGCAGCAGGAGCAGCAGGAGGATAAGGTGGAGGTACACCCCCATAGGGGCCCCCATATGCTGCTGCAGGGTACTGGGGGGCCCCATATGCTGCTGCAGGGTACTGGGGGGCCCCATAAGGTGCTGCTGCATAGCTGGGGGCCCCCTGAGCCCCAGTATAGACAGGGGGGGGTGCCTGTACACCATAGGGGTACATGGGGGCCCCCCCAGATGCTGCACGACCAGGGGGGCCCCCAGGGGCCCCTTGGGGGCCCCCCTGGGGGCCCCCCTGCTGCATATTCCCCTGATATGCAGGGCCTTGCTGAGGGTTGCCGCCTGAGTAAGCAGCCATAGTTACGAACTGGAAGTTAGAGTGTATAGGCAGCTCAATTAGGGAACAGGATGCCTCAAAAGAAACAGATTAATGTTTAATTTAGAAGAAAAGAAAACAAAGATAAAGAAAAGCAGAAGATGTAGAGGCGCGCGGCAGCTGCACGCTTTCTGCAGCCGCAGCAAACCCTAAACCCTAAACCCTAAACCCTAAACCCTAGACCCCGGGTGCGCAGTGAGGGTTTTTGAAGATGCACTTGTGTTCTACTGTCAATAAAAACAAAAGAAAGGCAAACCACTGCTTGTATTTGCAGTATCTCTGCTGCTGCTGCTGCAGCATGAGGTTGCTGTAGCTGCTGACGCCCTGGCTAGGGTTTAGGGTTTAGGGTTTAGGGTTTAGGTCGGGGCTTGGGGCTTTGCGGCGGACTTCCTATTAAAATTGCTGCGGCTTTTCCTTTTCTTCTCTAACTATAGATGCTGTATGCAGCAAATAGTTGCGAGGTTACCGCTACTACTGCTGCTGCTACGGCTGCTGCTGCTGCTGCTGCTGCTGCTGCTGCTGCTGCAGCCACAGCATGCCTCTCTTGCAAGGGCCCCTCGGCTTCTCGTTTGTCTTTGCTCTCTCAACAACTGTATTTCTTTAAAGACACTCAGACGTCTGTAGAGGCTTCCACTTGCTGCTGATTGCTGCTGGGGAGGATGCAGCAGCAGCAGCAGCAACAGCAGCAGCAGCAGCAGCAGGGGCCCGCGTACCAGCCAGAATCAGCATCACATACAGCGGCTGCTGCTGCTCCAAATGCAGCAGCAGACAGCAGCAACGTTGCAACAGGGCCAGTAGCCCTAAGACAGAAGTACGAAGCAACAACAACCAGCAACAACAGCAGCAGCAGCAGCAACAGCAGCAGCAACAGCAGCAACAGCAGCAACAGCAACGGTAGCAGCGACAACAACAATGACAACAGCAGCAGTAACAGAGACGGGAGCAACGACAGCAATAACAGCAACAGTACTAGCAGCAACTGCAGCAGCAGCAAGAACAACAACAGCAACAGCGGCAGGAATGGCAGCAGCAGCAGCAGCAGCAGTGACAGCAGCAACAGCTGGAGCTGCAGTCGCAGCAGCACTGTAGCAGATTTGGCCGCATCTGGGCCGTGCCCTTCTCCTCTGCAACTCAGCAGCAACTGCAGCAGCAGCTGCAGCAGTACTACTAGCTGCAGGAGTCCATGCAGCAGCAGGAGCAGCAGCAGCAGCAGCAGGTTGTTGCAGCAGCAGCGGCAGCAACGCTGGGCTGATTCAGTTGTTGTGTTGCTGCAGCGCTGCTTTCTCCTTTTGCTGCTGCTTCTCTTTTTGTGCTGCTCGTTGTTTGCTGCTGCAGTCCGCCTGCTGCTGCGCTGGGGCAGTTCAGCAGCAGTTCGAGGCTGGCGGCAGCAGCAGCTTGCTGCTGTTGCTAAGGATGCAGCAGCAGCATCAGCAGCATCTGCTGCTGGTGCTCCGCCGCACTTAGTAGTTGTATTTAATAGCGACGAGTTGTTGCTGCTGATGGAAGCTGAGGCCCTGTGTGCTGCTGCTGCTGCTACTGGTGCTGGTGCAGCAAAGCCAGCAGCAGCAGCAGCAGAAGAGAGCAGCGCGTGCGTTCGTCAGCTGCTGCTGCCAGCAGCAGTTGCTGCATTTTCTTCAGGTCTGCAGCACCTAACCTTTGCTGATGGCCCGGGGGTTTGTTCACTGCAGCAGCACAGGCAGCAGCTAATGCTGCTGCTGCAGCAGCTAGGCTTAGAGGTCTGGGAGGCTAGTCCGCAGCAGCAGCAGCAGCAACTGCAGCAGCAGCAGCAGCAGCAGCATCGCTTTTCTCTCCGCGGTCCGCTGGTGCTGCATTCTCCTACCACAATTTGCATCCGACGCAGTCAGCAGCAGCAGCAGCAACAACAACAACAACAGCAGCAGCAGCAGCAGCAAGAGGGGCACGATGAAGATACGCTTAAAGTAAGGATCTTATGTGGCTGCAGTTGCCTTCCTGAGCTTCTGAATGCCTTCGCAGCAAACCAGCAGCAGGCCCAGTGCAGCAGCAGCAGCAGCAGTTGCTGCTACTGCAGCAACTGCTGCGGCAACAGCTGCAGCAACGCCAGCGTCTCCCAGTGCAGCACGGAAGGCTGCTGCTGCTGCAGCGGAGGAACCTGCAGCAGCTGCCTCTACTGCAGCAGCACAGACAGCAGCACCACCTCCACCGGCTGCAAGACGACCGTCACAACAAGCAGCAGCAGCAGCAGCAGCAACAGCAGCAGCGAGCCCCAGGCATCAGAAGAAAAGAGTCCTGGAGACAGTTTTTGCTGTCAGCAGCAGTTGTCTCCCAACGCTGCGGGAGACAACTGCTGCAGCAGTGCCTTGCAGAAGCAGCAGCAGCAGCAGTCTGCTGCTGTCGCTTCTGCGGAACACACACACAGCAGCATTAGCAGCAGCAGCAGCAGCACAAGCAGCGACAGCAGCGGCCGGCTGTACACGCTTCCTGCTGAAGAGACAATAAGTGCTGCTGCGGTGTATAGGCAGCTATCTTCTGGGGGAGACTTCCCCCCTCCGCGCTGTTTGCTGCGGCTGGATGTGCCGCTGCTGCTGCTGCTGCGTACGGTTGCAGCAGCAGCAGCAGCAACAGCAGCAGGGGTTGCTGCAGCAGCAGCAAAGGCAGTTTGGGGTGTAAGGAAAGTATCTGCTGCTTCTGTTGGTAGCAGAAAACAGCAGCAGCGAGTCGCTGCTGCAAGTGTCTATCAGCTGCTGCAGCAGCTGCTGCTGGTGCTGCAGCTGCTGCTGCCAGCGCTGCTGCGGCGCCTGCAGGAACAACTGTCTCCGTTCAGGTGTATGTCTCCTTTCACCGCATGCAGCGTCCCCCCTCTGCTGCTGGCAGAGGCGGAGCTCTTCGGTGGCCGCGTGCAGCAGCAGCAACACCAACAGCAGCAGCAGCAGCAACGGTGGACATACCGAGCCCCCAGTCTGTCGCTGCAGCAGCAGCTGCAGCAGCAGAAGCAAACTGCAGATGCTGCTGTTAAGATCTACCAGACCTTAGAGGCATTCACAGGGAGACACCTCAGGCTAGGGCGATAGCAGCTGCAGCAGCAGCAGTTGCTGCTGTGCGGCAGCGAGACAACAGCTTTCTTTGCGGTGTCTCCTGCCTTGGGGTGTATGCACAGGTCTGTCTCCTGTCTCCTTTTAGTCTCCTTTAGGAGAGGGAGGAGCCAACAGAACAAACAAAAATTTTGTTTTTTTGTGAAGTTTACGTCTCAGGTGTATAGGCACCTCGCAGCGTTTGCTGCTCTTTGCTGCTTCTAGCATACAACCGCATGGCTGCTGCTGCTGCTGCTGCTGCTGCTGTTGCTGTTGCTGCAGCACTTGCTGCTGCAGCAACAGCTGCGAAATATATGTGCTTTTGCCCTCGTTTTTCCTGCTGCTGCTGCTTGTGCTTGTGCTGCTGCTGCTGCTGCTTGTGCTGCTGCTGTTACTTGCTGCTGCTTGTTGCTGCTGCTGCTTCTTCGTTTGTTTTGTTTACGCGCTGATGAATAACAGCTAAGTCTTGCTGCAGTCTCCAGTGGCCCGACCAGCCTTTCTTTCTGAGATCGAGAAAAGAGAGAACAGGTGCTGCTGCTGTTGCTGCTGCTGCTGCTGCTGATGTTGAGGAGACCTGCTGATCTGCTGCTGCCTTCAGCTGCTCTATTGAATGCATCTCCGCGTCTGTCTGCATGCACCAGCAGCAGAAGCAACAGCAGCAGCAACAGCAACACACATTCACACATATCCTCCTACACTTGCTGCGACTGCTGCTGCTGCTACTGCTGCTGCTGCTACTGCTGCTGCTGCTGCTGCTAGGGGTGTGTAGACAAGATAAAATAAATAATAAAATAAAATACAGCGAGGAGACACCGTACAGCTGGAGGAACAGAAAGGGAGATGAATAATAAAATAATTATAAAGGAGACAAGAAGAGAGACAAAGAAGAGATAAAAGGAAACAGGCAGCAGCAGCAGCAACAGCAGCAGCAGCAGCAGCAACAGCAGCAGCAGCAGCAACGAAGAGAGACAGGAGACAGGGAAGGGGAGAGAAGACATGCTAAAGGAGACAAACAAAACAAGGACGCTGCGCAGCAAGAAAAAGAGACACCACCACCACCACCACCACTGCTGCTGCTGCTGCTGCTGCAGTCACCTGGCGTATATACTGCAGCAGCAGCAAAGGAGGCAGCAACGGCCACATAGTGCGGCAGAAGGTCCCTGTCTTTATTACTGCAGCAACAAACTGAGGAGACAGATTCTGATACTTTAATCTCATAGCTAGAGTCTTCAGCAGCAGCATGCTGCTGCGGCCTGCTGCTGATGCTGCTGCTGCTGCTGCTGCTGGTGTTGCTGCTGCTGCTGCTGAGCCCGGCGCAGACACAGGTCCTGCTGCTCTTGCAGCAGAACCGAAGGCCCCTCCTGAAGCAGCAAATGCAGTAGCGCCCGCTCCAACCATCTTGCTGCTGCTGCTGCCGCTGCTGCTGCTGCTAGAACTATCGCTGCTGCTGCTGCTGCTGCTGCTGGTGGTCGCTGCTGTTGTTGCTGCTGCTGCCGCTCTAGCGGACTCTCAAGCTTCAAAGCAAGAGAAATGAGTTTTTTAGTGTTAATGCTGATCTTTTTGCTGCTGCTGCTGCTGTTGTTGCTCTTGCAGCAGCAGCAGCAGCAGCGTTTGCTCGCCGCATGCAGCCCCTGCTGCAGTTGTTAATTTGTTTGTGTGTGTCGCTTTAATTAAAGAAATAAATAAAAATACAAATTAAATAAATATTCAAATATAGTCTAGTTGTAACACATTTAGAGTTTAGGGTCTAGGGGCTAGGGTTTAGGGTTTAGGGTTTAGGGTTTAGGGTTTAGGACCTACTCCGAGACTCTGGCGATGGAGGTCACTTCACTTCTCCTCCCCACTAAAGGCGTAGGCCGGTGCTGCTGTTATTGCTGCTGTTGCTGCGGCTGTTGCTGCTGTTGTTGCTGCTGGTGTTGCTGCGGTTGTTGCTGCTGTTATTGCTGGTGTTGCTGCTGTTGTCGGTGCTGGAGCTGCTGCCTTCGTTGCTGCTCTTGGTGCTGCTGTTGTTGCTGCTGTTTTTGCTTCTGTTGTTGCTGCTGGTGTTGCTGCTGTTATTGTTGCTGTTGTTACTGTTGGTGATGCTGCCGTTGTTGCTGCTTCTGCTGTTCCTGCTGCTGCTGCTGGTGTCAATACAACTGTCGTTGCTGGTGTTGCTGCTGCTGGTGTTGCTGCTGTTGCTGTTGTTTCTGTTGCTGTTTCTGCTGCTGCTGCTGCTCTCGCTATGCTACTGCTCTTCGTAGCTGCTGTTGTTGTTGCTGCTGCTGCTGTGAGTGTATTATAATGTCTCTATTTATAATGAAGTATTTATATATTTAAAGCAGCATTGCTATTGAGGGAAAAGGAGACAAAAATATCTTGTCTTGGGAGACAGTCTCTAAAAAGCAGCTGCTTCTTCTGTGGTTGTTGTTGCTGCTGCTGCAGACAGTCTCTAAAAAGCAGCTGCTTCTTCTGTGGTTGTTGTTGCTGCTGCTGCTGCTGCTTTTCTTTGTGCTGCATTCGTAGCTGCTGCTGAATAAACATCATCTGAAATAAAATAAATATATCTTCGCCCCCAGACAGCGTGGTGAAGCTCCAAGGAGACAGACACTGGAGGGAGAGGAGACAGGGAGACAGCAGCTTTTTTGATTGTTAAAGCGACTGCAGCAAGAGATCTTTTGCATGCATCGCATGCAAACACAGCAATTTTTTTTCTTTTTTACTGTTTGCATTAGTACAGTAAAGAGGCGGAGTTGTCTTGCTGAGAGCCTTACAAAGCCCCAAAAGAATTTAAATTCTAAGTAAAGAGAGCGCATGCATTAGCTTCCACTTCTCCTCCTCTGCAAACCATAGATGTTATCGTTTGCATGCGGTTGAATGTTGTTGCAGGTCTCATAGACTGTCTCTTTCTTTTGTTTGTTCGCAGCCTCCTCTAACTACGCATGCAGCTCCGCTGGCTCTGCTGCTGTCTCCTAGTAACAATCTTCATCATGTTCTCTGTCAGCCTTGTCGCTGGTGAGCATATAGGTAAATAAATATAAAAATAAATAAAAGATAAGACAGTCTTCTTTTAATTTTTAAAAGCACTCTATATATACACAACTATAAGTCTCTTCACCTATCTCCGTTTTATAAGGAGATGCATGTCTTCATACTTAAAACTGTCTCTGCTTCTCGGAGACACTCAGAACAGTACCCTCAGTTTTGAATACTCTCAGGTTAGTAAGAGGCACTTCTTCTCGCTAGATCTCAGACTAAGCTAAAGGAGACAAGCATTAAAGAGCTGTTTCTCTTTTTGCACGTTAATACGATTGTCTCTAGATAAAGCTGAGTGCTTAATAAGCGTCTCAGCCTTCTGCTGCTCCCTCTCATTAAAGGGTTAATGATATATATATATATATATATATATATATTAATGGTTAGTATAATGGTATGACGACATCTTGACGAAGAAGAAAAGTTTAAAAATATATATATAATATATATATATATATATATTAAAATTGTTTGCTAAGTTGTTAGCCCCGGAATGAACAGCAAAGGGCCCTACCCAAGAAATAGAAGAGGTCATTGAGCTCTTCTTTTTTCTGCTCTCTTCCCAGTGCATGCAGCCCCAAGCGATCTTGTTTAAAAGAGGTTGATAAACTTTGTTTGCAGAGTTTCTTTCTTAAAGTTCTTCTGCCTTACGCATGCATTGCTGTACTTTAATGGGGCTTGATATTGGTTGAATGCATGCACGAGGAGGTTAATGCAATAGGAAGAAGAGAGTGAGGTCATGATGAAGACTTTGAGAAAATATCTAAATATATCTATTTGTCTTACTGTGTTTTTGTTTGAACTCGTACAATAACATACCTATACACCCCGCTACCCTTTTGCTGCTTTTGCTCTCACTTGCTGCTTTAAATAGTGCAGCATTTGCGAGAGAAATGATGCAATGGAGACAAAATGTTGGATTTAAAGGGCCCTTAGAAATGAAAATAAAATGTCTCCTCTGTTCTCCCTCAGACAGAGTGCTGAGGCTTAAGGAGACAGAGACTAAAGGGTGAAGAGACACAGAGACAGCTTAATGAGGCTAAAGGAGACAGGGGCTGGAGGAAACAAGAGACAGAGAGACAGCTTAATCAGGCTTAAGGAGACAGAGACCAAATGAAGAGGAGACAGAGGGACAGCTTAATGAGGCTAAAGGAGACAGGGGCTGGAGGAGACAAGAGACAGAGAGATAGCTTAAGATGAGCTGCAGCGCTTTTGATTGTTAAAGAGAATGCAGCAAGAGACATCCTCATGCTTCGCATGCAAACACAATAAATAAAAGGCTCTGCTGTCTGAGTGTTGTTGTTGTTATTACTATTATTATTGTGATGCTATTATTAATATCATCACCATTATTATTTATTTATTTATTTATTTATTTATTATTGTTATTATTATTATTATCATGTTATTCTTATTATTCTGCTTGCCTTTAGGCTGGCCGCTAAATCAGGTGTATATATAATTATATAATAACTATAATAATAATAATTGTGTAATATAAATAATAATAATAATATTACTATGATTATTATTATTTATAATGATAGTAATAGATTTGTGTTTCTATAGACTCATTGACAATGTATATATAATTATACATATATATATATGCAGAGAGAGAGAGAGAGCATAGATATCTGTATGTATATACATATATATATATATATATCAATGCTGTAGATATACATACATATATATATATATATATGTACATATATGTACATATATATAATGCTTATACATATATACATATAATGCTCTCTCTGCTTATGTTTTATAATATCTTTTAAACACCATCACTACCTTCTCTTATAATTATAATTATATTAATTATATATTTTATTGTATAGCTTCGTCGAGCATAGTAATGCAGCTCTATATCGACTCCTGCTGCTGCTGCTGCAGCTGCTGCTGTTGCTGTTGCTGCTGCTGCAAGGCCACCACCCCACGTGCAAGCTTAATAAGACCGCAGCACCTCTTGAGTATAAATAAAAATTATTTTAATAATAAATAAAACGATAAAAATTAATGAATAGTCAGCCTACTACTAACTAGAAATACAATAAAAGAGCTTCAGACGGACCACGCTGCAGCAGTAGCAGCAGCAGCAGCAGTACCAGCAGCAGCAGCAGCTGCTGCTGCTTTGTTGCTGCAGCAGCAAAACCTTCCTTCTCAATCTGCCTCTATTATATTCATTCACTGATTGAAGCTGCAGAGACAAACCAAAGAAAAGACAGAAGGTAGCAAGACTTAAAGCTGCGCATGCGGCAGCGGCCGAACAACAAGCGCAGCAGCAGCAGCAGCAACAACAACAGCAACAACAGCAGCAACAGCAGCAGCAGCAACAGCAGCAGCAGCTGGCGGCTGCAGCTGTTGCTATTGACGGTGCTGCTGCACACACACAACGGCCCTTAACTTTTATTTATTATAAAAGCTGCTGAATAAAACTCTGCTTAACAACAAAAGAGCAAAAGAAAAGCAGAAAACTACAGAGTGGAAGCGCAGCTGTAAACCTGGCTGCTGCTGCTGCTGCTGCTGCTGCTGCTACTGCTGCTGCTGCTGCTGCTGCTACTGCTGCTGCATTGTCTATCTCATTGCTTTTTTCTTGCCTTATGCCGTCTTGTTAATATTATAATAAACAAATAGGGCGACTGCTGCAGCAGCAGAGAGGTTCTATTCCTCACTGCTCCTGCTGCTCTAGCCACAGCGCAACCAACGCCTGCTGCTGCTGCTGCTGCTGCTACTGTTGCTGCTGCTGCTGCAGTTGCAGCTGCAGCAACAGCTGCCGTTGCAGCAGCAGCAGGTGCTGCAGCAGCTGGCGTTGTAGTAGCAGCAGCTGCCGCAGCAGCAGCTGCCGTTGCAGCAGCAGCAGCAGCTGCTGCTGCTGCTGCCACTACCGGAGGAGGATCGGAAGGCAAGCTGGGGAGCCCGTGAGAGCGTGCTCTGCTGCTGCTGCGGCTGCTGTTGCCGCTGCTGCAGCAGCAGCTGCAGCAGCAGCGGCTGCAGGATCTCTTGCTGAAGCAGCTGTACAGGCTGCTGCCGATAGAGGGAGGAGCAGCTACAAGCAGCAGCAGCAGCAGCAGCAGTATATCTGGCGCTGTCATCTGAGGTGTATAGACAGCTGAAGATGCCGCAGCTAAACCCTGCTGCTGCTGCAGCAGCAGCAGCAGCAGCAGCTCCTCCTGCCCCCAGCGGCACTACTATTGGGGCTTATCGGCTCGGCTCTACGTTGGGTGTGGGCACCTTTGGTAAAGTTAGGTGTAAGTATATCTGCTGTCTCCTTTTGCTGTCTCCTTTTACTGTCTCCTTTTACTGTCTCCTTTTGCTGTCTCTCTTCGGCCTCTCTTTGCTGTATATTTTTTCTCTTTACTGTCCCCTTTTGCTGTCTCTCTTTGCTGTCTCCTTTTGCTGTCTCCTTTTGTCTCTCTTATTTATTTGTTTTATCTTTTGGCTGTCTCTCCTTTGTTTCTTCTGTCGAAGCTCAACACCCTAAACCCCAGACCCTAAACCCTAAACCCTAAACCCCTAAACCCTAAACGCCACCCACGCGACCCTAACTTTACACCCTAAACCTTAAACCCTAAACCCTAAACCCTAAACCATAGAGGGTAAACCAGCGCTCATAACTGAACCGTCCCGTGCAAGCCCTACTAAGCGCGTAAACCCTAAACCCTAAACCCTAGACCCTTGTATTTGTGTTCAGTGGCAGTTCATGAGATGACGGGTCAGAAGGTGGCGGTAAAGGTTTTAAATAAAAGTAAAATGAAAGGCATGCAAATGCTCGAGAAGATAAAGAGAGAGATATCTATCTTAGACGGGCTTAACCATCCTCACATTACTCGTCTCTATGAACTCGTAGACACCCCAACCGATATCTTCGTCATCATGGAATACGTTGCAGGCAAGGGTTTAGGGTTTAGGGTTTAGGGTTTAGGGTTTACGATTTACGGTTTACGGTTTAGGGTTTAGGGTTTAGAAGAGGGATGCGACGCGGAGAGGCTGTTGCACCGGCAGATTGCCACAAACCCCACAGATCCGCTTCGGTCTTTAGGGTTTAGGGTTTAGGGTTTAGGGTTTAGGGCTGCAGTCGGGGAGTTGCTTGATTATATTATGCAAAAGACCACGCTATTCCACGTAGATCTGCTCCAGACTTTGGGGTTTAGGGTTTAGGATTTAGGGTTTAGGATCTAGGGTTTAGGATTTAAGGTTTAGGGTTTAGGGTTTAGGGTTTAGGGTTTAGGGTTTGGGCTTGCAGGCGGGGAGTTGTTTGATCATATAATTCAAAAGGCCCGGCTATCTGAGTCGGAGGCCCGCCGCTTCTTCCAGCAGATTGTCTCCGCCGTAGAGCACTGTCACCAGCACCTCGTAAACCCTAAACCCTAAACCCTAAACCCTAGCGTCATGCAAAGGCCCGAACGGTGGTTGCGACACGCAAAACCCTTCCCAGCGCACTGGGCCGTTAGACGTGTTAGAGTTGTGAGGGTTTAGGGTTTATGCGTGCACTGTAGGGTTTAGAGTTTAGGGTTTAGGGTTTAGGGTTTGGGTGTCCTGCAGATTTGCCACCGAGACCTAAAGCCAGAGAATGTCTTACTAGATGAAAACCTCAACGTTAAGGTTGGAGACTTCGGCCTCTCTAACTTCATGCGGTAAACCCTAAGCCCTAAACCCTAAACCCTAAACCCTAATTCGTAATTTGCAGAGTTGAGTGGCGAGCCCGTATTTGTCAGAAGTTGGCGGAGCCTGGGGTGTAAGGTGCTAGCAATAGGGTTTAGGGTTTAGGGTTTAGGGTTTAGGGTTTAGGGTTTAGGGTTTTGTGCAGCGACGGGGAGTTTTTGAAGACTTCGTGCGGCTCCCCTAACTATGCCTCTCCTGAAGTTGTCTCTGGAAAGGCCTATGCGGGTCCTGAGGTGAGAAACCCTAAACCCTAAACCCTAAACCCTAAACCCTAAACAGAACTCAAAGCTGCAAGCCTAAACCCTAAACACTATTTTGTAGATTATGGTTCCGAGACAGGCACAGGGATAAGAGGAGATGTTAGTGAGGGCTTGTGTGGGTTTGGGGTCGGGGGAAGATCTAGGGTTTAGGGTTTAGGGTTTAGGGTTTAGGGTTTTGCAGGTGGACGTGTGGTCCTTTGGAGTAATACTCTACGCTCTCCTCTGCGGCTCTCTTCCTTTCGATGACGAGCACGTACCGAATTTGTTTAAGAAAATTAAACATGGTAAACCCTAAACCCTAAACCCTAAACCCTAGACCCTAGATGAAGGTGGAGCGGCAGGTGAAAGCGCCAGTTGTGTTGCGTGACCAGTAGAAGCAGATTTTCTATGGAAGCCCGTAAACCCTAAACCCTAAACCCTAAACCCTAGATTCTAATGCCTTCTATGCCGTAGCTGCTTTTATCATCGCCAGTGTGCATCCTCCGGATATAGTGAGGGTTTAAGGTTTGTGTATTAGGGTTTACTTAGGGTTTATGAGGGTTTTAGATTTATTAGGGTTAATAAGCGTTTATTCGTGTATATATTAAGATTGATGAGTATTTATTATGACTTCCTAGTATCTGTTGAATTAGGGTTTACAGAGGGTGATTACAGTTATTTCCTAGGGTTTGCAATTTCTACTAGGGTTTAGGGTTTAGGGTTTAGGGTTTAGGGTTTGTGTGTGCAGGGAACTTTACGCTTCCGGGTCACCTGAGCTCAGGGAGCCGCAGCCTGCTGCTGCAGATGCTGATGGTTGATCCCAGCAGACGAATACAGCTTCAAGATATTAAGAGGCATCCGTGGTTTGAGGAGAAGCTGCCGGCCTATCTGCGTACACTGAGGCCTGCAGCTGCATGCGGGGGGCCCCCAGATGCTCTTGTACTCAACCAAATGGCCAAGGTATTCACCCTAAACCCTAAACCCTAAACCCTAGGTCTGCAAACGGAATTGTCAGCACAGAGAAAAAGAAACAAGAAAACAATAGTGGAGACATCCGCGGGTTTAGGGCTTATTAGGGTTTATTAGGGTTCATTAGGGTTTAGGGCTTAGGGTTTAGGGTTTAGGGTTTAGGGTTTAGGGTTTAGGGTTTAGGGTTTGCGTGCAGTTAGGGTATGATGTGAGTGACCCTTCTGTCTTCTTAAAAGGCCTTTTGGGGTTCCCGAGGAGCCGCGAGGCCGTTGCTTATCAGCTGCTGTCAGACCGTCGGAGGAAGCAGATTGCTCTCTCAGGTGCAGCCCCTAAACCCTAAACCCTAAACCCTAGCTGGTTTGTAAACACCCTTGATTATGTTTATACAAGCAGCTTCAGAGGACTGCAGCACAACGCCGTCGTCAGTCGAGGGAGCCCTTTTTACCCTTTAGGGTTTAGGGTTTATTAGGGTTTAGGGTTTAGTAGGGTTTAGGGTTTATTAGGGTTTAGGGTTTGCGTTCAGGTGTGGTGCCGGAAGAACCCCCTACATTCCCTGCTAGCGTCTTGAGGAGGCTAAGCCTCCGCTGCTGCGGGCGTGCTGCTTCTTGCGCAGCAGGAGCTTCTCTGCTGTCTCTGCAGCAGCAGCTGGGGGGTCATATGCCTAGCAGCAGCGGCAGCAGCAGCAGCAGCACCGGCAGCACCGGCAGGTTGGGGGGACCAGCAGCAACTGCAGCAGCAGCAGCAGCAGCAGCAGCAGCAGCAGCAGCAGAATCTTCTCCCGAGTGCCGCTCTCCTAGTGGGGGGGGCTCCTGGGCTTCGGCTCGGTGGAAGCTCGGCATAGAGGCTGCATTTGATGCCCCTATACTCATCACTGCTGTAAACCCTAAACCCTAAACCCTAAACCCTAAGCCCTAGGGCGTAAAAGCAGTTGCATGCAGGAGCTGTTGCTGCAGGTGCACGCAGCGGCTAAGCACAAACGCCCCCGTCCGCATAGGAGAAAGTCTACGGGGTTTATTAGGGTTTAGGGTTTACTAGGGTTTAGTGTTTACTGGGGTTTGTGAGGGTTATGAGGGTTTTTTAGGGTTTATCAGAGTGCATGAGGGTTTGCTAGGGTTTGCATTGTTTATTAGGGTTTATGAGGGCTGTTTCCTAGTGCTTGCTGAGGCTCACTGGGGTGTATTAGGGTTTTGTTTTAGGCTTTATTAGTATTTATTTTTTTTAGAATTAATTAGGGTTTAGGGTTTAGGGTTTATTAGGGTTTGTGGCGGTGGCTTATATATATATATATATATATATATATATATATATAT